CACAAAACTTTGAAAACATAATGTAAGGAAAATTGTGGAAATAAATGTCAATGCAATCCACGGTTACATAATATGGGATTAAATATCACCACGAATATGTATCGATATCTTTATGCCTCACTGTTTTAGGATATGATATAAACCGAATATAAAATAATGTGTCTAATTTTGAACAAAGTAGTTGTCGTAAAAAACAGTGTTCCTTTTGCGAGTTTTAGATTGAGCATTAATGTTTCATCACCATTGAATATGTGAATTCTAATTAAATGTATTTCAATTTAACGCTTATCTTCTTCAAATATCATTTTTGAGTTCCTTGCTCAAACTTTACGTTTATTTCTTTTTGATAGATTATTTGTGAATTAAAGTGCCAAATTAAGTTTCGCTTGTAATTTTTTTCTTAAAAAATATCAATTTTAATGATTTAGTAACCGATGGGTATTGTATTCTGCACACCAACAGCATCCCCCGTTTTAGTAATTTTGAATTTATTTCGGGAAATCGTTAAACCGTATGGCATATTGCAAGGATATAAAGTTGTATTAGGCTGTCGACAATAAAAGAATGAAAAATAAAAATTGCCTGTTTATTGATAAAATCAGAACAAATACTTTTAATGAAAACAATGATGTTTTAAATTTACGATTAAGCATGTGTTACACATTATTTAAGTAATACTTTCTACACCAGCAACTTATTATGTTGTGATGAGTTCTGTCGTTTTGTGCGTTCTTTAGGGATTCCGTTTTCCTCTATTCTTACAAGAGGAGTGACAAGACATATTTTGATTAAGATTTATCAAAAAATAGCCTTCAAATATAAAAAACACGTCTTGTAGCATTCTTTTGTAATGTTACAGTACATTTGATGATTAATGACGAATTTAAGTTTATGCTTATTTTAGCTCTAAAAACTTATTTAAATCACTACTCGGTCCGCTTACTACAACCTAAAACTGGTTTAATCTGAGGAAAATGGGTCGTGACCCAAGTAACGTTCAACCCTAGATCCGTTAAGTGAAATGCAGACTTTTCAAACAACTTAGTATCGCAGACCTCCAAAAAAGCTTTACTTTTTGTGATTTTGTTAAAATTTTAGCCTATTTTTTAAAATTAAAAAAATTTTATTGCTAGTGAGTCATTGAGTTTTGATGGATTTTACCCCGGGACAAAAAAATCATTTTGACCGGGGCGTATGTCATTTTGCTGGAAAATAAAATTTCCATATTAAAATTTACTCAATAGTAAATAATTAAAAAATAAAAAAATCAGGGGAAAGCATGCAAGAACCCTTTAAATGTTTTTAACTTTAAACAGTTTCTATGACATGAAACCCAAACACATGTTTTTAAAAAATATCTGTATGAATCTACATTTTTCTATCACAGGAAGTATCTTATTAACTGTTCTGAAAGATAGCATTGTCGGTGCAAAACACTTAATTAATATTCCATATTTCTTGAGTAAATATTAATTTTCTAATACTAATTAAATATAATTTTGTTAAGATTTAAATTTGTCATAACATCAATCAAATGTCATAACAAAATTGATTTTCGTCACATAACTTAAATACAATACAATTTAACCAAAAGTAAATATTTCGACGTTAATTTAATGTAAGTGATATATTATTTGATAGAATTGATAATTCACAACTTTAAAGGGGAGTGTTTTTACTGTCAGGATCTAAGTTGAAAGAATACATATATTTATTTTGCCCTCATACTTATCTCACTCACTCGCTTATCATTCATTTTCAAAATCAATATGTATTAAAAAAGATATACAAATGTATAAGTTAAACATATCTTCAATCATGATTAGGACCGACAAAAACAATATATCGTATTATTATATGCAAGAACACATTTTTCTTCGTGTGAAAAATATTTCTTTTTTTTACTAACTGTTTGATTCTCCCCTACCCTACACACATAATGACAGGACAAACTTTATCTTTAAAGATAACAACAGTGAAAGGTAAAACATGTTGAATCGTTTTCATGAATTTAGTCCATTTAGGTTAGGATATACAAATGATTAATTAAAAATCAATATATAAAGATTAATGTCTCCTCATTCATGCAGTGATTGTTTTGGATAGAAATGATAAATTGTCACAGCTACAATTTTTTTTTAAATGCACTGACAGTCAAGATTGCCTTCCATCTACATATTTATGCAAGAAAATGGTATGTTATTACAAGTTATTACATAAGCTCCATTTTGTATAGAACATAATAAGTACTCTATAGATTTCCATGCATTTCATAAAGGGACTTCACTTAGTTTGCTTTGGCATGATGGACCTGTAATATTTTGTAAATCCTTTGAAGTAGGTCTGAAACAATAACTTGTGTTCAAATTTTCATATCATTCTCTTACGTTGTTTTCTACTTAATCATTTTTATTGTGCAAAATGACCTAAAAATGCTAAATCGTAAGAGGCGACTAATGGGTTTGAATTTCTCGAGTATATGCATCTCTTACCTCCAGCATGTGAGATGGTTTTTGACCCCTGGTGTTGCTTTAAGTTTGTATCTCCCGAGATTAGACACAAATCACCTTTCCAGTTCGGTGCCATATGACCTAAATTGTGTTTATGTGCCGTAAAATCAAACCAAACAAACGAGCAAATAAATGATTAACCTACTAGCAAGTGTATTTGTTCAACCTATAGGAGTTGCCAACAATTAGTGGGATAGTTAGTTAAAGATTATCGGACAGTAGTGAGTGAGTATATTGCTTTGCGGCGTGTTAATAGAGAAGTATTATTTTCGCATTTATTTTGCTAAAATAATAAATACTAGAAAGTGTCATGCCAGCAAAAGCACGTTTGCTAAGACTTTTTACAAAAGCAACACTTTGACGGGTAAATTTTGAACTATTATAACATTAAAATTAATTCTATTTTTGATGTTTATTGGAACTATGACAAGAACAAGTGTAACAAAATATATTTAACGTAAAGGTAAGTTGTTTTTCGTATTTTTTATTGAACAAAAATTGACTTTTTAATTTAGTGATCGTTTTGATAAGTACATTGTACTTTGAAATATTTCTTTTAATCGTAATTTTAAGTCAAAATTGAAATTTTCAAACATAAATATTTATTTCATTATCAATGATTTAATTATTACATTGTTGATTGTCAGAAACGTTAAAAAAACGCTGAAAAATGAAAGATTACAGTAATATTTGCATACGTCATTTTGATGAATGATATGAAAAGGATGAAAAACTTTGTTCAAAATATTTATGATGTGTTTACTTATAAGAAATACAATTTTATACATATTATATACAATACAAATTTACAAATATAACTTCAGTGCAAACAAACCGTTATAACAATTTTATAGCAAAACATATTTACATAAATTTAATTGCATCTGTGAACAAAAAAAGAAAGAAAGATTGCATCTATGAAAACACAATGATAATAAAATCGACTCTCCCCCGCAATGCCGTATACTCGTATTGAAATATACCCACATTTTTAGTCCGTGAATACTCATAATATCTAATATCAGTATATCGATCACATGTATGTAAGCTTTTGTAATACAAAGTTAATGGAGTGTTTAATGTTATCTGTGCATAGCATTTAATGATGCAGTTTCGTTTGACCGACAAATATTGTCCGTATTTTTAGATGGCACGATAATTGTACATTTTTTGTTGAAAGAAACACGGGGGAAAATAATTCCCTTATTTAATATACATTTCAAAAAAAAGGGATTTAAGATAAAAATATGCAAAAATTTTATGCCTCCCCCTTGATCTTCTTTTCATTTTTTTTTAAAAAATAAGTTGCTTTGTTCCCCTTTATGAAAGAAAACTTTTTGTTATTTCGGTTATTTTCACGGAAAAAAATTTTTAAAGTTATTTATCCTGATCTCAGTAAAAACGGGCTAAATCGGGGAGTTTAATTTTAAATTGAAAAGCCCTTTTTTACAAAACGTAGGTTCGAATTTTTGGGTTTAAATTTTTTGCATCATGTCATTGGTTTTTCCAAATTTTTAAAATTTAAAAATCGATTCATGTGATAAACAATGCAACAGCAGTTCGCTTTTGGCATTTTTATATGAGTACTTTGAAAAACCAAAATATATCATTAAGATCTTTTCTTTGATTTCCTACATTTGAACTGTTGTATTGTGAGCTTTTTAATGCTTATCTTTTATTATTCACCCGATTCAAAGAGACTCTGTTTTTTTAGCCCAAACGAATATTTCTTATTCCTATACAATAGATCAAAGTCGTAAATGCATGTGTTTTTACATATAGGAGACATGTTTTTGCTACCTTAACGACACATTACTGATCATCAGTTGTTAAACATACCCTTCTGTGATTATTAAACATCATTTAAAAAAAATGCTCAACATTCAAAGTTGTAGTTACTATATAAATATTGTAGCTGTATAGTTTAAATTTTCTTGCCTCTAATTGTTTGTAGTCTGTCACATTGTCTGTTTTACACTCATAGGTTTTTTTAAAAACCATTAAAAGGGTTTGGGTTTTTTTTAAAAAGATGTTGAAATTTCTTTTTTTTGTTCCCAAACCCAATTATAATATTTTAAAGGTTAAATTTTTTTTCCTCAGAAAAAAAATACATTTTTTCCCCTTTTATGAAAGGTTAACTGATTCCCAAAATGTAAAAAAAGTTTTGGGGCTTTTCAGATGCATTTTTCCCCGAAGAAAAAGCGTGAAATGAATTTTTTGTCAAAATGTTACAAAAAATTAAAATAGTAGTATTTTTAATTCCAAAAAAAAATATTAAAACATTATACATTTCTTTCTTTCCCGAAAGCGAAAAAACGATAAATTTTGCTCAGCAACCGGCCATTTTAATTTAAAGTTTTTTAAAAACCCAAAAGCAGGGGCCCCACAAAAAAAACTTTTTAAAATCTACCATAAACTTGTCAATGTAGCTTTAAGGTCTCACTTATTTACTATAAGTATTTACTGCACAGTTAACTTGATATTTGCAGCTGTGTCATATGCACTTTAGATGAAATACCTAAGTTATTGTAAACAAAAATGGTTATAAACATTGAATGAAATGTATATTTTATACAATTCAGCTATGACTTATGCATTTAAATTCAATATTAAAGATGTCGTGGTCAAGGATAAATTTTATTTAGTGATGGATATTTCACATTTGGTAGGCATTTTTCTATTCTTTAATTTATTCGACATATTTTTTAAATCAATAAATATTTAACTGTTTATAATATTTAATCTGGTTAAATTCGTAAAAATATACATGTATAAAGGGACAGCTTAATTTGCCTTAAAGGCAAACGTTTTTTGATGTACTCTTTAGTCTAGAAAGGTACTCATTGGCCACTTACCTAAACCATCTTTTTCTTCTGTTGCTTTTTGGCATTAAGTACAATTAGTGTAATTTGGTATTTTGTATGGATGTCAAAATACTATAATTTTGTTTACATTTTGCCAATGTTATGACAACCAAATATTTTTACATTCAGCAATATTTTAAGCAGGTGACAAGCATTAAACATGCTCTAAAACCATTATTCATATGCTATAAAACTAAATTTGTTTACCTTTTCTAAAAATAAAACAGATCAATCGTTTGTTAGGCATTATGTGCCTTTAAAATATTATTATGTTGCAGATGTTGTTTAATTCAACAACTGTGCAAGGATTGAAATCGGAAATCGGAATACATGTAGCAATATAAAAATATAGGAATTAATGATCCAACTCCTTAATCAATATTTCATTATTCTTTAGTAAATATAAATGTTCTAATAATAATGAAATGTAATCTAAGAGGCTTGATTATGTTATGTCATAAAATCAACCTGATGTCATGATAATATCTATTTTGTCACAAATATTAAAGATACAATCTTAATGTAAATATTTTGCAGGTATAGCAATTGTTCTTGATATTTTATCACAGTGTATCGATACTTCACAAGTGTTTACGGGGCTTGAATTGATAAAAAAAATATTTATTTTGCTCTTATAATTTTGATCCCAGCCTATCCTTTAAACTTGATATATGAAGCACGTCGCTGAATAATGTCATTCAAATATTATGCAATACTATCATATAAGATATACCGTTGTTTTGCTGCATTTATGGCAATAAAATTAAGTTTAAAGTCAATTAAAATATAATTTATTCCAGTCAGATCATAATAAATCTTAATAAAGAAGATCCATAGAGGTTAATGATAGCAAAAATCTCAGGTGAAGATGGTTTTATTTTTCATGAGGGCAGTGTTTGTTAATGGAATTAAACTTTGATTATCGTTAATTTTTACGTTGAACGCCTTTTTCGCAAAACAGGCACTGTTTTACAAAGATACATGAATGGTGATATTTCTATTTTCGATATTTGTTGGAACTAAAGCAAGAACAAGTACAACAAAATATATTGTAAAGTAAAGATAAGTTTTTCATCGAAAAAAAATATTGAACAAAAATTGAAAATTTTCAAACATAAATATTATTTTCATTACCAATGATTAAATCATTGCATTGTTTTTTTTGTTTAATGATATTATTAATGATATAAAAAGGATGAAAAACTTTGTTCAAAATATTTATGATGTGTTATAAGAAATATAATATTATACAAATTATATACAATACAAATATACAATACAAAAATAACTTATGTGCAAACAAAATGTTATAACAATTTTATAACAAAACATAAATTACATAAATTAAATTACATGTAAGAAAATACGATGACAATAAAATTAAATAATATTTATTACATGCTTTTCGGTGGTTTATAGAAATATATCAGTGAAATAAGAACTGAAAATTTCACTGTTTTAAACAGTGAAATTATCAATTTGATAATTTCACTGTTTTGAATATTTGAGCCCGTTACGTTGTTTCAGTGAAATACAAGCGTTCTCAGTACTGAAAACCAAATAAATGACGTCACGTTGTATTATTATTTGGCGCCCTTTTCATTTAGTACTAGATTAAAATGTCTTTTTAAACGTTTCTGTGCATATAATAAAAAGAAAATGTGTTTAGTTTAATGTAAGATCGAAATAGATTTCACCTCGTGAACACCAAAAGTTCATATTTCACTCGTGGCTGTGCCACTCGTGAAATATACCTTTTGGTGCTCACTCGGTGAAATATATTCCGATCTTACACTTAACAAATATCCTCAATATAAACGACTGTTCCTACATTTTTTATTCTGTGAATACGCATGATATCAGTTAATTGATCAAATATATGTAAGCTATCGTAATGCAAAGTTTATGGAGTGTTTAATGTTATCTATGATGCAGCTGCGTTTGAATGACAAATATTGCTTGAAATTTCAAGACATTTAGAATAGAAGACACGATCATTGTACAATTTATGGTGAAAGAAACTAAATGGAAAAACATTCGTGTCTTTAAAACCAAACATCATATATATTAAAGAACAAATATACAAATTATGAGCGTGTGCGATAGAATGTATGCAATAAACAATGTTTTAGTCGAGTGGGAGCATAATAAACGTTAAGTTAGATTTAGGTTATGTGTTGTCCACTAAGTTGTGGTCTCCCTTTTTGACCTTTCTTTTTTCATTTTTGGTTGAATATTTAGTTACAGTATAATCTTTGGAAAGATTTTCAGACGAAAAGAAAGCTATTCGTGGTATTTGATACTCACAAGAAATTCTAAAGCGATTTTTTTCTCTCTTTTATCCCAGTTAATCTAGTCTAAGTCGGCAGTAATTTGACATTTGAATGCTTTATTACAAGACTAAAAGGTCAAATAATTCATTTATTTATTGCATATTGCCATTGTGTTTGGCACATTTATTATTAAAACAATCGAAGCATGTGATAAACAATGCTACACCAGTTCGCTTTCGGCATTTTTATATGAGTACTTTGACAAACCAAAATAAATCATTAAGATCTTTTCTTTAATTCCCTACATTTCCTATACAATAGTTCGAAGTCGTAAATGGGTTTTAACATATGGGGACATGTTCTTCGTCGTGAATATCATTTTATTTCGCAAAGTATACATTTCCGTTCTTCACGTTAACTTATATTCACCACCTACTTCTTTAAATGTGTATTGAATGCATTCCAATTCCTAGTTTTATATAATTATTTCGACATGATTTGTCAAATAGAATAGTATATTTTGATAAATAAGTGCTCAAAATCATTTACACATGGTGCATGATCTCAGAGCATAAAGCGTTTGATAAACATTATCAGGGTTATATCATAAACATAATATCTCCTCGGAAGCCTGTTTATTCTTTACCAAGCTATACAGTGTTTCTCGCACACTTAATAGTAATCTAAAAAAAAGTCTATTAAAATTTTATATGCTAGAAATCCTTATGTTCAGACTTCAATGCATGTTTACAAGTTAACATTTGATTAAACGATTAAAGTCTTTAAATCATATTAAAAGAATTGTAATTTTTACATTTTAAATTTGAATTTTTATCTTATGAATATATTTTCTTTTGAAATTTCGAACAGACCACACAAATATAAACAATACAAAATGTTAGATGACTTAAACACAAACGCATGAATTCGTAAAGGTATGCATAGTTTTGTACAAAAGGTATTTACAGTTTTGTACAGAACGAGTGCAATGCAAGACAATAAAGTATGAAAAGATCTTAACTTTAACTGTTATACAAAGGTACTTAAATCTATAGCCTTACTGAGCATAAAACCTTGTCATCTGATGCATACAAGTCGTCGTCCATGTTTCAGAAACACTTAAATCTGTTTTCACAGCCAAGTTAATAAAAACATTATATATATTTTATTTAGATTTTTTTTTTCAAAATTAAATGTATGTCAATGATCATAATATTTATCTTTATACGTAAAAAACATATACACGCCAATCTAACATTACGTAAGTATTCATGATTAAATGTTTGAATTTTGGTACACAATTTTATCATTTCTCAAAAGATAAATGTTTCCTTTGCTTACAATGTCTATAGTATAAAGTCGCATTATGTTTATAAACATATCTGTGTAGTTTGGATTTAACAAAGGTATGTCGAGGTCTTTCTTTTTTCGCCGATTTCAAATAATATATTTTGGGCAATAACACACTTTTTATTATATCTTATATTTCGTATAAACATGCATTCATCTGTGGTTGGATGTTCAATATCATCTTTATCACATAAACCGCAATGCAGGAGTGTAATAAAGCCATTGAATAAAAACGATATTACACTAGTGTAATAACACTTTGACGTGACGTCATTTGGGGCTATATATAAACATAGCGTTAAAGCGCGTTAATGTGAGCGCTTACACTATAGGGCGTCAATGAAAAATGACTCTTTTGAACAGTTTGCCGTTCTAGTTTTATATATTTGATAAATAGAATATTATATTCGTGTAGATTCAATGCTACATGTATTGAACTCGTTCAATAAAACAATTTTTTATGCTCGCCAGAGGCTCGCATAATATAATTTTATTCAACTCGTTAAATAAATTTAGTATTAAACCTATACGCATTCAATATCCTCTATTTATTAAGCAAGCATGTTTAAATTTTCCTCCCATTAAGTCTAATAATATACATGTACTGTTTAAAATTAGTATTTTTATGGCCGCTCCGACAATATTGAAAATTAATAACTATTATTATATTTTTAAGACTTAACGCGAACAATCTTTTTTTTGTACGACATATCTACAATAAATAGCTTAAACTATTATTGTTTTGTTACTCAATGTCTAAAATAGATATTGATAATTGACATTTATAGATATATACAATGATAAATTAGGCTATTCTAGATGAATAGCTACAATAAAGTGACCTCATCTTAAAACATAACCATATTTCTGGAACATTTTGTTTTTGCTATTAGTCAGTTTCGAAAAGATCGACATAGTGGCCTCATCTTAAAACATAACCATTTTTATTGAACATTTGTTTTGACAATCAGTCAGTCAATCAGTTGAGAAAAGATCGACATATTAACTTAAAATGTTGCTGAAGGGTCTCTATGGTAAAATATACTATTGCAATTTATTTCTAAATAAAATGAGTTTGGAATGATTTACAATGACGTTTAGTAATTATGGCAATTCTAACATACGCAATTTTCAAATGTATATTAATTACCAAAGTTGAATACAATGCCGAAGAAATT